ATTCAGCTACAAATTCTGTGAAGTAATGTAAGTTAAAACAGTATTTATTCTGAAATAAAAGTGATGCCACAGAAGGGCAAAATGGTGAAGGTGTGGAAACATAAGAATAGTGTTGGATCCACAGTGGAACAAAATTAAGGGCAGGATATGTGTTGTTTCATTTAATGATCAAACAAGTCATATTTGAAATAAGATTAATTTTCATAATCATAACTTTGCCCCAATTTTAAGTAAAAACATGATATGACACATTTTAATTCTAAGTTTTTATTTTACAATCATTTGATGCCTTGTACAAGTGTGAAATGCACAACCATGAAAATACAACATGTCTATATCAAAAGAATATAAACCATGATATCCTGAAATACAGATAAATTTAAATATCCATACAATTGAGAAAAGCACATGTAAAGCGAATTAATTTAAACTCACATTTATTACGTTCATTTTTAAGCACAAAATGTACATATCTGCTGTGATGAACATACCAGTTTCATGAAATATTAATGTATGAGAAGGTTCCTTAAACCCTATTGGTTTTCACAAAGCATAAAAATATCTTTCATCTATAATATGCTGCCTGATATTACCACTGTGGTTCACTATGGGAACTGGTCAATGCTCGGCTTTATTCACACTTTTACATGGCAATATGGAACATCTGGCTCCAAAAATGTTACAAGCATCAAACTTATGATTGGCAAGTAGAACATATAAAATATATCAATTCATCGGAAGTTTTTCTTCAGAAATATTTCTGAAAGTCACCAAGCATACACGGTCACAGAACATCATGACTGCTCCACCACTAATAATATTCTTGCCTTGTATGTGTGTGTTTCTTGAAAGACACATTCCAGAGTTTTCTTCACACTGTCATGTACATATCAAGACATTCTCAACTTATAAGGTATAACTGATGCCAATTTTATATTAACACCAATCCCAAATGAATAATTTGCTTGGTTCAGTCCAAGGCAAAAAAAAAAAACATCTGAAAGCCACACATACAGAATCTCTGAGAAGTCTCAAACCATAGGGGACATCGGTTATTTGGCATAATACAGAAAACTACAAAGAGAGAAAAACTGTTGCAAATTATGTGTTTCAGTTTCAAGTATTGGAATTTTTTTAAGCTGTTATGGCACTGCTTTCTTTACGTATCAGTAGTAATAAGGTATGGCAGTGATGCAAAAGACATGGTGATGAGAGGGGGAAACAGTAGTGAAGGGGGGAGAGGTAAAACATGAAACAGGAATAAAGAGTGAAACCACTGTGTTCTGATATATATTCATATAAAAAAATAATGTGGCCAACCGTGGCAAAATGCTGCAAGTCTACAAAGCCCAACATGCATACAGAACATCACAGAGGTTTGTATATTTGCTGCAATGAGTGTTCAGACTAGTGTCGGTCTTGCTGCTCATGTGAATTCAGCACCATGTGCTGGAGTGTGCATGTCACAGTGTCACTGGATAATGGCTGTTTGTATGATAGGGGTACTGAATATTATGTACTGCCACACAAAAATAATCACATAACTGTCTATGCTCATCATCAATGTGTGATATGGCATCTCTGGCAGTGCTGTTGTGGGGTCTGTTTTACTGGATAATAGATTAACAAGATATCACTACCATCACCTCCCAAAGATTGTGTTGCAACCTTATTTAGGCACAATGGTCTTTGTGTCATGCCATCAATTTTACTTCCAACAGGCTGGAGCATCACTGCAGTAGCTGTACTGTGTGCCAGTAGTTAGGTAAGTTTTTTGTCTGGGTAATGGATTAGTACAAGGGGACCTGTGGAATGGCCACCATCTTCTCCAGACTTCGCACCACTGGAATCCCTCCTGTGCGGTCACTTGAAATTTATGGTATCTGGTAACCAGTTGCAAAACATGACTGCACTCCAGGAAAATACCCATACTATGGAAGCAGCCATTACCCCAGCAATATTGTGATGTGTGCACTTAGCATATGGTGCCATATTCATGAGTGTAAGTAACAAGACGGCTTCAGTCTGAACGCTTACTTGTACTGTAGTGAATGTACAAACCTTTCTGGTGTTCTGTATGGATGTGTGGTTTTGTGGACTTGCAGCATTACTTCTGTATGAGTACATTAAAACAAGTGGTTTTATTCACTAGTCCTGTTCCCTGTTGTACCTGTCACTCCTTCACTACTGCTTCCCCTTACCCTGCAGACATCCCCTTTTACCATCATGTAACCTTGGTGACAGTGTTCTAACTTTTTACTACTGACATGTAAAGAGTGTAGTACCATACTGGCACTTCCTAGCAACAAAACCTAACACACAGTCTGCCAACAACTTTTTCCTCTATACAGTTGCCTATATTTTTCCAAATAACCATAGTCTTCTACAACCCAAGACGTTTGTAAAATCTGTATGTGTGCACACAGGCATAACAAGGTAGGATCTAAAACATCTATGCTGAGATTCAGAATCCAGTTTAGTTAGTTTTCTCCTCCCATGCCCACCATACCTACATTTTCTCAAAGGATTAATATTGTTTACCAGTTGTGCTCTATTATAGCCACTCCTACTTGACCAAAGAACTGTTCATGTTAAGTTCAAAAGGGACTCCTCAGTAAATGAACTCACATGAGAACATAAAAAGCAAAACATGTTCCAACATTTTAGTCATCCTCAATTAAATCTTGCAGAGTACTGAAGAATGTCACTACTTTAATTCCAACTCCTAAAATGAAATCCCAGCTATGTCTATACATTCACATTTACATACAGCAAACACACCAAAGTCACAAAAATTTAATTGTACTATTTCCTGACACCATTCCCACAAAACATACTAGTAATACAAAATGTTATCAGATGTAAATAAATATTATGCAAACTATTCCAAATATTATGCTTTGAGACACCCTTATATAAACTCTAGGCTTTATAAAGTAGACCTCTGATTATCAGTTATGAAAGATTTTCAGTCCTCTAATTGTAAAAAGTTATTTCAAAAAGGTAGGAGCACCCACAAAGTTCTGCAAAAACACTGACAGAATACATCACCAGATACTTTACATAAATCTTGAACCTGATCAGTAAGGTCTGTTAGCTAAGGCAGATTATAAGGGTCATATACTACATGCAGATAAAAGGAAACAGCATTTATGTGTGTTGCAGTATATATAGGCTTTAGGGCTTGGACATAAATCCAGGAACATTAACAATTCTCAAGCTGTGATACTTTGACCCCCAAAAAATACACAAATTTAAGCCACCCTCTCCATAATTAAAGCTACTGATGTATTATGATTAATGTGCAAGAAATCCAGTACATTTGGCTGACTGCTGACTGCAGCTAAATTCTCTGAAAGAATCTGTATAAGTCTTACTTGATCACTGATTTGCCAAAGTTGTGCATGGATAGAAGAATATTTTAAATAATCCTTGAAAAGTTGGTAACCCCCATCATTAAGAGTATGGGGTCACAAACCACAGTTTCAGAAGCTATGGTTTATGACACACATAATTTATCCTTTATGATTTGGGCATTCTTTGTTAAATATCACTGTACCAAAACAAATTTTTTCATCCAGAAGTGGACCAGTAGCCAAAATGATAAAGAGTTACTCTGGCATCACTGTCATTAGTTTCTAATAGTAACATTGTCATCATTTTCTCATATTTAAAGAATACATTGTGTACAAGTTAGTTCCAAATACAACCATATATAGTTTCCATCATTTGTATATTATGACAGTAAATTCTTTCAGAACAGACATGGATGTGACATCATGGTTGGTATTCCCCACAGACAGTACATTTACCGGTCCAGGAAATATTGTTAAAACCAGTTTGGTTGCAGATACGGTAGTGGAATATTTGGGTAGGGGGTAACTAGTTACTGTTTATAGCAGATTTTCCCAAGGTATCATTTTGAAAATATAATAATGTATTAAATGTGCATTTTTGTAGTTTCAGTGACAAATAATCAAGACACAGGCCTGCTCTGACTCTGTCCTCAAAAGATGTTTTCTCTTATATGTAATGTTACTGCAATTTATAAATGAGATTCTTTTCCAAGTTTGTAACAGAGAAAGTTAACAGGATAGATAATTACAAAGACAAAACAACTCCGTCCAGTGTGACTATTGAAGTTTTTACTACTTGAAAACTTAACATCCTTACATGTTTCGGTCCCTATAGACCATCATCAGAGGGGCATCGACACTTTTTTGTAAACTACTATCACAATGGGTGTTTTGAGTGTTAAAATACATATATATACAATGTTTGTAATGCACAATATATACAAAATCCAACTTTTTCACAACTACAGCAGCTTTCCTGGTATATTTAAGTTTTTAAAACTTTGTTATTTAAGTTAAAATTTATAAACCAAGTAGGTTTGTGTCCCTTCTCCTATTGTCTTTCTTGATGGGGGCTGAACTTGTGCCACCTGTCTATCTTGAGGAGGAGATTCTTAGTATCGTCCTGTGTTGTTCGTGTAAAACAGTAGTAAAAACAAGACAGCACGCCACGAACAACACAGGACGATACCAAGAATCTCCTCAAGATAGACAGGTGGCACAAGTTCAGCCCCCATCAAGAAAGATGATAGGAGAAGGGACACGAACCTACTTGGTTTATAAATTTTAACTTAAATAACAAAGTTTTAAAAACTTTAATATACCAAGAAAGCTGCTGTAGTTGTGGAAAAGCTGGATTTTGTATATATTGTGAATTACAAACATTGTATGTATATGTATTTTAACACTCAAAACAACCATTGTGATAGTAGTTTCCAAAAAAGTATTGATGTCCCTCTGATGATGGTTTATAGGGACTGAAACATGTAAGGGTGTTAAGTTTTCAAGTAGTAAAAACTTCAATAGTCACACTGGACGGAGCTGTTTTGTCTTTGTAATTTGTTAGTGTGACGGACCAGAATGAAACAAAAAAAAAAAAAGGATAGATAATATCTGGTGTATTCTTCTTCAGTATTTCTGTGTGACTATTTTTGTAAGACTTCCTAAATTTATTCATTATTGCATTTACCTGCATTCTTCATTGTCTAAAGGTTTATCCTTGAATATCATAACATTAAGAAATAATATTTCAGACTCTGATATTCATTTGGGATTTTGGTTTTCATTCACAAATGAAAAGTACCACAAACTACGTATTCGGTATTGCACTTAATACTCCATATATGCATTTTCCTAATAACTAAAATGACCATAGTCAATAGAATGCAAGACATAAGACAAACACATGACTAGACCAATTTATGGTAAGATTATGATAGTTCTGCTGCTACAAAACTCTTTTCCAAAAGTGAGTATTCTTCCAGAAATAATACCTTATAATGGATGTTACAATAACTGAGAATAGGGGTAATCAGGATATTTTTAATATAAGTGGCTTGTGGTGAGTGAAATATATTCATAGCCACATTAAATAATACAAGAATACTGAGATTCACAAATTTAATATTTCACCACTTTTGCCCTTCTTAAATCCATGTTAATGTTCAATAATGCAAAATTCAAATTTATTATAATACTCAGTTACATTTTAAGCTAAAGAGCCAATATTACTGAAGTTCTGACAAATGTCTTTATTGGGTTTGCAAACAACACTTATTGCTTACTCCTCTGACCATGATCATTTCTTATATGCCGGTAATAACAGTACTTCACATAAAAATCCTTCAAGACAGATAATTGATATCATACTCTGCTACCTACTGAAAGCAAAGAGAATTACCATATCTGTACCCACAGAATGGGATTCCAAAATCGTGCCCAAATTCAAACACAAATTTTCCATGTAAACAGTGATTTTTATACAAACATTCAAATTCACAATATTCTTTCATCTTATTCAAAAGCTCCTTGTAGGTTAGTGTATACACTTTTCTATAGCCAATATAAATTTTATTTCCTTTCTTTAAGTTTTATTTTATAGAATGTAACTGCCCCAGCCAATGGAGAGAAACAAACTCTATGAATTTCATTATAACGATAAGAGAAAAGTACTCATACAAAGAAGAGCTTTCTGACATAGGGATACCAACCAAATTTAGAACAATTTAATTGCCCTGTGACAGATGAACAGTGAAACCAAAAGTAGGAAAGACAGCAGCTGGTTATGTGTTCCAGAACACACGAATCTTCCTGCATGTGCAGCAGCCTTGAAATAGTATGTACAAAAAATACATATGTTGTATTTAAAAGACCATGGGACAAAGCTAATATGAATATGAGAGAGCCATATTTGATAAAAAAAAATAAAGTCCTGAGAACAAATAGTTTATTTCAATCTAAACTGTTGCAGTACATGAAGGGTTTCGTATCATGCATACATACGTTTTCAGATTTATCACAAGATTTTTAATTCCCTTTGGAGTTAAACACACAAATATTAGTTTATTTTGGAGTTAAACCCACAAAACAAGTCCTTCATATAAGCTGCTGAACTAATGAATTTGTAGATTGTTCTACATAGAACATCAAGAACAAAACTCAGGGCTTCAGAATTACACTTTTAGATTTACTAGTTCACTGTAAATGGCATATTTCTGTTATTAGGCTAGCACACCCTGTACCCTGCCTACAATGTTTTCATGTCTGAACCCACTGGCCTACCCAGACAACCACTACTCTTTATCAGATCTTCAGTTTTGCATTCCAATGCCACAAGCATATTTTTGTCCAAGATATCTTTTCATGTTGGTCTGAATATGGTTTTAAGTTTAATCTGTATGTTACAATTATGAATGGTGATTTTTGTTTGTGGAACATGTAAACCATGTTTCAGAAGGTTTTAAATGACATCTTTTATTTATTTTGTGATGGAGTTTAGATTACTTCATAAGACAGACTAAATCAGCATTATGTGGTTCTGTTACCTTAGGGTAGGATGGATTAAACTTATTCAGATTATGGGAAATTTAGTATAAAAATCTCTCTCAGGGACAGTTCTATAGTGAATATGATCTTGATAAGTCATAACATGGGAGTAACTGCAGTACTGAACATGATGGTGGTTGTAATATGGATTAACACTTCTTTCTATTATCTCACATGTGTAAACCAGTAGGCTTAATGCTCTTCAATTTGCCTGGGGGGCTTTACTGAGGCTTCTACATCTAAGAAATCACATACCTAAGCTCAGATGAATACCCAATCCATTGAAAATTGAAAATACAAGTATGCATATGTATAAAGCGAGTCTAGTTTTAGCAAAAAGAACTGTCATTCAGTCTGTGTGGACTGAAGCACAAGAAGGTGTGCCTTATCCTGGAAGACCTTTATTTATACAAATTTATTAGTCAGCAGGGAAATTGAATTAAAAGAGATTCAAGCTCTCAGTGCAATTGCTGGCTGTCACACAAAATGCATAACTACCGATGGGAATGTCCTCGGTATTTTCTTATATATTTCATCAAATTCATGATTTTGTGCATGAATAGGCTTATGAATTAATTTATGATAATTAGTTTACAACTGCATTCTCTTCCCATACTAACTCCACAACCTGTTGGGGTTTAAAGGAACGTAACAATAAATAAAATGAATAATACACACTTGTAAAAAATATGCATTCTATTCAGTTTTGAGATCTGTGATGGCTGCACTATTCCTGCAAATGCATAAAGCCTCACACTACCTTCAAAATAAAAAAAAAAAACAAAGTCTTGTAGTATAGCTTTAACAGAATAAGGAGACCTGTACAAGTCTCTGGGATGTCACACACCAATGGCTGAAGCTACTCATATAAGTTATAAACTACAGTAAAGAAAATGGATACATTGTTCTCTTACCATGATAAATGGTCTATAAAAACAAGTTCAAAATTCCCTGGCAACTAACATCTTAAGCACCTGATACGTCACAGATGTCCACGTTGATAAACAACAGTCATTTTTTGCATTGGATTTTATCATCTATAACATCTGATGCTAAAGAAATGTGAAATCAGAATAAATCTTGGTTTAACTAAATGTCCAGTCTCTCACACTTACAGAGTATTGTAAACTTCATTAATTTGTACTCTTTCTCTTTCAATATAAAAATTGATGATGTAAAAGATTGCAGTCTTTAATGAAAAATAATGACAACTCATACAAAGTGCAGAAATACCAATGTATGTTTGTGTGTGTGTGTATGTGTACATATATATATTAGTAACACAAACATATATATGTATATATGTTACTAATCCAGATGTTGTTTCTTAAGGTCTTCATGGAAATTTACATATGTATTAACATATGGATGAAGCAGAGAATATGAAATGCTTTTAACTTCTAGATCATTCCATTTTTTCAATGTGAAGATGTTCACAACAAACACTTTGACATTTAAAAAAAATATATACTTCTCTTATGATGTGCAAATAGAAAAAAATAAGAGCTGCATCTCCAGCAATTCATTTGCATAAGATTACAAATGACTGTAACAACCTTAAAATACTGCATTTAGACCCATGAGTATGCACACAAGTATAGGCCTACATGCATACATTCACACAACACACATTCGTACATATTGGAACATACACAGGAGATGTGAGTGGAAAATTCACAATGACTAACGAAGTTCATTTCCAGAGACTCCCTCACAGCCTACCAAATGAAATGTTGCTCTGTATCAGATGATGCATCAAGTCTCTGAAGAATTTCTACGATGTTTCTGAATGATGCAACTGTTCTGGAGCAGATGACAGTGTGGACTGTTGCTGAGGAACAAATTCAGCTGCATTTGGGTTCAGTGTGCTCTGGATAAGACAAAACAATACAGTGTTGATCTCACTCCTTTAGAAACTCAAATATAATTAATATTGTTAATGTCTGATTAACTGTGACAGATAACATGGTTGTCTGTTATAGTTAGAAGTCTGGGGTTGGATGCACTGAAGGCTGGTGGTATGGGAGACACTGGTTCTTAGTACTTCTTATGCCTGTGCCTCACCATTCTCAACATCTCGTGTTTAAGCGCTGTTGCAAAAATAACTGGTTTCATCCTTTTTCTACAGGTTATTGAAATTCTGTTAAGTTTTAAAAATCAAAAGAGGAAGCAAATCAAAGTGGCAGTAGAGAATGAGTGGTGCCCAACTACGATAAAAATATCACCAGGTTAGTCTACATTATGAATCACTTGTAATTTAGAAGAGCAGGTTACAAAACAAGACAAGAGATTATATCTTCCCCTGTACTCCTACTAGGCAATCCCTTAACTCACTTGACACGTATAAAAGAGTTTTAGCTATAAGACAAGTTCAGCCTGGGCTCAAATTATAATTGAATATGGCTGGTAACTATTCATCTGACAATTCTGGTTAATATTGCATCAGATAGAATTATTTTAAACTGACACATTTTAACTTCATAATTTTACAGAAGCAGAAAATTCTCAATGATGTCAGTACACATTTCCAAATTACAGTATTGGATTGTATTATGATAGAAAGTTGGGACAATGTAGTATAATGATGGATGTAGACTGGATGTCTAGGGTTCAATCCTTGGCAGGGGCAAAGACATTTCTTTTTCACCATATCCATGTGAGGCTGACTCATGGTTTTTCACACAGAGACAAAGCAGCCAGAACGAGAAGCTGACCACATGCCTATCTGGTTCAAACTTTGAGAATGTATAGAGCTGCAATCCCCCATACATTTTCATGAAGTGGACGATTTTATATTTTTTACTTTAATGTAATGCTGTAAGTCCAGGGCTTAAATAGCAGCCTGTACTCAAAACTGTAGTCCAATATTAGAACAGTAAATGTAAACATTAACATGGGCTACTATTCCAACATTTGTGGTCTATAAAAAAAAATAGTGTCTGTATTTGTGTCTGGCAAAGATCACATTACTTTCCTTGCACAGTTTTCTATACTGCATTTGTACAAGGGAGATATGTATGTAGGATAAGAAACCCTTCCATGGAATTAAAGTTCTTCTTTTAATTTCATGGGGGCGAGAGGTGAGAGTGAGTCCAGTTGGTATATTGGCCATTAATTGGCCTATTATATGAGGAGGAGTCAGTAAATAGGTCACAAATGGATATAAAATGTAAAACATGTGATATCTGAACATGGAAAAACATTTCTCAACATATCCTTCACCAACATTGATACACTTGTCCCATCACTTTACCAGTGCATTGTAACCTGCAACAGAGAAGTCTTTTGACTGTTGTCTCAGCCAATTCTGCACCTCCCTTTCATCATATGTGACTTCCAAATGTCCTTGAGAGAATTTCTTGAACCAGTTGTGAACTTCTCTACATGACAAACACTTCCCATGATATATAGGAAACATTTCCCTATGAATATTCTTTGCACTGAGTCCTACAGAAAATTCACAACAGAACACTGCTCTTCAGTAGTACATATTTCAAGCATGGTCACCATTTTGACTAATGAGATGAGCCTCTGAACATGCACATAAATGTCCGCTACCTACACTGTCATGAAGCTGAACTGTGCTGCTACCTAGTGGTACACTTAGAGAAACTATTATATACATTACAGCTGTTTTACTTCCATTTGTGACCTGTTTACTGACTTTCCCTCATACCGGCCCCAGATGATATGTATGGAGTATTTGGTGCAATGAGAGTTGGCAAGGGAAACTGAAGTACTCAGAGAAAATTTGCCTCAGTGCCACTCTGTCCACCATAAATCCCACATGACCTGACCTGAGATTGAACCTGAGGTGCCACAGTGGGAAACCGGCAACTAACCGCTTGAGCTATGGCACAGCCATAATTAAAGGTTAAAACATACTAAATTTATTTCATCCATTGCATTACACAGCTGTGAAACTTGGTCATAAACTCTAAATTTTAAGTGTATGAAAATGAGATGCTAATGAGAACAGTTATTTCCAAGAGATAAACAGATTGGGAGAAACAAGAAATGTATACAAAAGGCTGACTGGATAACAATATGGAGTGACATCACTTAGGAGATCAAGATGTATGATCGATTGATTCTTGGTCTAGAAAACACTTCTGCAACTGCATACACAATGTAAAATAGAAACACAGGCTGACTATGAATGGTGAATTTTGAAGGATGTGGCCATGGCCTATTTTTAAGTCACTATCTTAGCACTTGCCTGATGGGACTAAGTAAAACCATGAAACCCTCCAGCAGCCAGCCTCCAATCTGAGTCTGTTACAGAACCTCATGACTGCAAAGCAGGAGATATAACAATTCATTGTGAGAATCAGATGCCAAGATGGTGCACAGAGGATACTGTTAAAAGGGTTCTTAGGGAAACAGGTTGTACGATTGTGAACTGAACTCAAATGGCATCCGATGACAGGCTTTTTCTGTGATGAGTGTGATAAACTTTCTGGTTCAGAAAACAGGGAATTCCTTAAACAGTTAATATGTGTCAACTGCTTTAGGAGTACCATGTATGAAGGAGTTAGGCCATTAAATAATATGTATACTCACCTGCTTAGCTAAGTCATCTTGGACAGAGAGATTCTCCATGGTTTCACACAGATTGGGAGCACTGGCAATGAGAAGAAAACAAGCGATTAATGACTCTAGTCAGAATCTCAGTAAAGTGAAGACAAAAAGGTGGGCAAAATGCAGTGTACCACAAACAGGCACATTTCATATAGACTATTGAGAAGCCCAACTAAATAGTTGAGGGCCATTATCTTGAAAATGATAATGGTAAGAAGAATATGTACATCATCTCAGTAGCTTCAATTTTTGTCTTAGAAATTTTATAATCTACTCAATCACCACCACCACCATCATCATCATCATCATCATCATGCCATAATAAAAAGAAAATACCTAAATAATAATTGTTTTAGAATACATATATATATCTGGTAATCTTTGCTTTTGTTAATAACATTTTACATGTCTTTGCACCAGATTCTTAAGCCTTTCTTTCTGTATCCTTTCCCATGTGTTTCTTCACTTGACTTCATAATAACTTCTATTAAATCTTCAGCTTCTCTGTTTATATTCCTTATTTCTTTAAGGAGTTTCTCTTAAAAGTACTAATTTACTCTAATCTGGTGTAGATATTTTACACTGTCCTCTTTCAAGAGATGAGCTTTGTATGTTTCCTTGTTTAGTAGTTTTATTTGTTTCTGTTCAGTTATTTTAATACTGTAAACTAATAATAAATGATTGGAACTACATGGGTAGGCTGAAAAGTAATGCACACATGCTTGTGGAGCGCGAACAAAAACAAATAGCAAGATCGGGCAAAAAGTACATTAAAGTACAATTCTTAAGTTTCAAAAGCATATATTTATTTTTCAACATAGTCACCGTTAAGGCTAACACATTTCTCCCAGCGTGTAACAAGTTTTTTCATTCCGTCACTGAAAAATTCTTCCGACTTTTCTCGAATCCAGGACTTGACAGCTGCCTTCACCTCATCGTCTGAGGTGTAATGATTACCCTTGAGGTCTCTCTTGAGTAGAGGAAAAATATAAAAATCGCAAGGCGCAAGATGGGGGGAATAAGGAGGGTGTGGAATCGGTTCAAACTTCAGGTTTCGCAGAGCCTCTTCAGTTGCGCGCGAGGTGTGTGGACGAGCGTTGTCATGTTGCAAGATTATTGGCGCCAGGCTGCCTCTAACATGATGAACTCGACGCCGGAGGTGTTTTAGAGTCTGTATGTACTGAGAAGAATTTACCGTTGCCCCTCGTTCCAGAAAATCGGTCACATAAACTTGGTGAGCATCCCAAAACACAGTAAAAGAAGTTTTTTGGCGGGTGGTTGTGTTTTGAACTTTTTCACCTGAGGAGAAGAAGGGTGTCGATATTCGGTGCTCTGTCTTTTCTCTTCCGGGTTGTAACGATGGCCCCATGACTTGTCCCCCGTTACAATATTCAAAAGAAAGTCGTCTCCTTCGTCATGGTAGCACTGCAAAAGTTACTCGCAGCATTCCAATCGACGCTGTTTGTTCTTGTCTGTGAGACGGTGTGGTACCCATCGTGCACAGATTTTACGGTATCCCAATTGTTCAATAATGAAGCCGACACGTTCCTTGGATATTCCAATATGGTTTGCGATACGCTTTTGAGTGATTCGCCGGTCATTTTGAATCAAATCGTCGACGAGTTTGCGGTGATTGTCATCTGTGGCAGTGATCGGACGTCTGCTGTGTGTTTCATCAACAATTATGGCTTTTCCAGGCTCGCAACCACGAAATTTTATTACCCATCAATTTACAGTAGACCTATTAACAGCATCGTCACCATAAACAGCCTTTAAACGACGATGAATCTCAGTAGGAGTCACTTTTTCAGCAGTTAAAAATTGGATAACAGCACGCTGTTTAACTCGCGTTGACATAGTACTAGAACATGTCTCCATACTTCCGCTTCTCGAAATACACTGGATGAACGCAATAACCTCAAACCTGCACATGCGTATTGAGGGGGAATGTTACTTCCACATGCCACCTGGCGCACTTCTGAAGGTCATTTCGTTCGCGCTTTACAAGCATGTGTCTACCTATGTAACATTCCATTCTCGAAATACTCTTGTACTATCACAGGAGGTGATATGCAAGAGATTACCAACCTCTCAGCAAGCAGCTATACTACCACTTGCATCACTCTCCAGGTCTTTGGTACCCACAGTTCTCACCACAGTAAGGTGGGTCTCCAATGAGGAGGTAATATACTCAGTATTTATTAATATATAATCTGAAAATGTACTGTTATGAATACATATTAAGGTTTAGTCAATGAATGTCCAATTTAAAGCATATTCAGTTTGGTTAAGAAAGTTAAGTTGCTCCTGTGCCTAAGCCCCATACCATGAAGCTATACTGGGATATGTGGGGTAAAGTTCCATGCATTCTACACTTCACCACTAGATGGATAGTAGGAACACATAGTATTGCACACCTACATACACAATTAGTGCTCTGCTTAATATTAAACTGAAACACTACATGACTTTGGCAACTTTTTATTATTTTCCTATTCCTGTACATAAGCATTTGACTGCTCTGCTTGAGACGCTGGAGGGAGGGGGTGAACGCATGTGCTATAATGCTAGGGTTCAACTTCCCTACTATGGATGCACTATGCTAAATTCCACATAAATTATTTCTGGGTGCACAATTCCAGAAGAGCTTGTAACTTAAGATAATAATTTCAATATAACATCCTCTATTTCCATAGTACTCAACTCCAGTGTCAAGAGAGCAGGGTCCTTACTCTGTAGGCTGGACATAGTCAGTGCCGGTGCTCCATGGATGACAAATATCCATAACCCCTACACCATTAGCTGTCATTGCTTGGTTGTGAATATTACGTATTTCACGCTCATCTTCCAACATTGCTTCAATGCACTGCTCCATTAATGCCTCTTCTTCCAATTGTTGCATCACCTATTTGAATATAAATAGTATTATGTAGTACAAATATGTGAATGACCACATTTCGTTAATCTCAGCTTATTTTTAATGTGAATTCAAACTAAACTTCATACACTTCACATGTGTGTTATGCTAAAATATTTATAACATGAAAATATGTAATCATAAGAAGGTATATTAAAATGGCCTTGATGTTTATTTCATTCAGATAAAAAATCTACTACAGAAAAGCTAATCATACTACAGATATCAGACACCACCCAGACAGAAAATATCTTCTTTTTATTTTATTAAATAATCATAACTAACGAACTCCATGGAGATAAGCCCTGCTTGAGGAACCACCAGTTGCACAGCTACTGAAGAATTTTATAGAACCCAAAGGTTCATTACTGCGTTCACATGAATCCTTCACTGAACCCTATCCTGAGCCAGAACAATCCAGATATCTGGAAGCCGTTTCCTTCATCCACAACCTGAGGACATGCCATGCCATGCCATGCCATGGTAACAGGGGACTCACTTAACATGGATTAACTAATCATAATTTCACAAAATGTGTCAAATAAAACTGTAGCTCTTAATGAGGTTTACATATTATCATTTACTATATTAATTTTTAAGAGAACTGGTGAAGTATCAGTTGAGCTTAATAATGTAGAGATTATTTTAGACCAATATGAAGCACAATTAAATTTTTACTTAACCAAATTTAGTACTAGTAGTTACTAGTAGTCCAGTGATTGAGGCTAGCTCTTTCTAACAGACCCAACAGAATAGGTGTTTTCCTTCACCTGAGGACAGAAACAGATCCAGTTTCCAAAACGTCGTGTTTTTATCTTAAAAACCAGGATGATGGATAAAGTCCAAATACCCTATATATCAGCAAATTTAGTACTCATAATTACTAGGATTTTGGATTTTGTCCATTGTCCAGTGGTTGATGTTAGCTCTTTCTGAGGGACCCAACAGAGTAGGTGTCTCCCCCTCACCTGAGGACAGAAACAGATCCCGATTCTGAAATGTTGTGTTCTCTAGTTTTTTAATACACTGAATGATGAACAAAGTCCAAAAACCCAGTAATTCTGTCTGAGTGTTATAAACCTTTAGAATATACCAGTTTAGTTGTGTGGTAGCTTTGGAGGTGAAACATATAGACTGATGATATCACCATGCATGCACAAATTTCCTATAAATCTGGAAGCCAGAATAAAAAAAAATAAGGTGAAAAAATTGCTAGTTTTAGTAAAAAAAAAATTTAAAACATGAGTAATTGGCAGTTCCTTTCACACTTGGCAGAAATTCAGCACACCACTGTTAATCACAATAGGTTGGAGAAAGGAAATATGAAAGGAGATGAAGGGATAAAGAGTGGAAAAAGGTGGTGAGGAATCTGTTAATGTGATGATGGAGTATAGAAGGAGAGGAATGGCAGCAGATAAGGATATTGTGATGTGCTGCCCAAAAGCTGGAGTGTTGAGGTCAAGGCAGGCATCCAGTGCCAGCCAACAGCTGGGTAAACATTGTTCCTGCAGTAAGGTCAGATTGCCTACACACATTCCGATGGTACGCTGTAAACAAATTCATGGCAGGACTTCAGTTTCTAGGGTTTTGATATGTGCAGTCTAACTTCAACTGATTAAAAGCAGATATTCATGATAAGAAACCGTTAAAAGCACAGTAAGAGCTACAAACGCAAGAACTGTACTGTTGAGGGAGGTGACTACTACACGGCTTACCGAAGCACTAGAGCAGGAGAGTTTGCCGTAACATAACTTTGAATCCTGTGTGCAGCCAGTGTCGAATATTTCCACTGTAGCCCTGTGAGCTTTAGAAGGTGATGAAAAGAGAATTCTTGAATTTGAGGCAGTAAAATGTGGTCACAAGTCCCAGGGGACTTGGACCCGAAATTAACTGTGCTGGCGAGGGTCAGCAGCAACTGTAAGCAACAGACCTGTCCTCTTGTCAGAGAGAGTGCTCCACACCGACAAACCCGCAACTGTCACAGTTATAAAAAATCTGGTCATAAGCTCTGGGTTCGGTGCTTTATTCCAAGACAGACTGGCCAACTAACCATCAGTCATAAAATAAGACTCAGACTCATAACTTTGACTTTGAATAAGTTAGTTATGGGATTGCAGAATTATGGACTTTTGGAGTAAAGGAACTGGACTTGGCTTCATACAGACTTGAATCACCAAATTCATGCAAGGAGCATCCAAGAATGCAAGTGTTGAAGACTTTACTTTATATGTCAGTGTCCCAGTAATCTTCTGAAGTGTTATAAATATTTGTAGTTATGACTGATGACTGTTCAATAAATTGATTCATCTAACCCAAAACCCACTGATTACTTGTCACGTTACCAGGATACATGGCAATATGACAGGGATAAAGAAAGAATTTTTTCCTACCATTCATGACAGCTCATGCACTGATAGCATTGGGCCCTATAACAGAAGGAAATTCTAAGTGCCATGGGGTCCAGAATTTGTGCAGGGCTGGATATTATCTCCCATTCTTGCATTAATGTTAATGAAATTCTTTATACTTATGTCATATGAACACATGGTTATATAAAGTTCATTCAAATAGATAATTCAGCTTCCAGACTTTTGGCAAGATTTATTGATTTGGCATGGAATACCCGAGTAATTTTTCAAACAAGCGTAAAGAACTCATAAACACCTATTCATACAGCAATGAACAGCAAAAACCTAACCTGCAATATCCTAATCAAAGAATTAGAACCTGGTCCATACAATAAGCTAAACCACACAGGAAACCAAGATGCACAAAATTACAAACGTGAAGTGGAAAATATAAAGATACATAAAAAGACATGACTGTACTGTTATATTCTATTAACAAACAACTTACTTGCTTGTCAAATTCTTCTTCATTCTCCATCCACATATACTCTGAAAAATCACCATCTAATGTTGGTGAGTCCACATCATCACCATTACCAATATCTGAGCTGTCAGACAGATATGAAATAATAGAAGAGTCGTGACCATAGTAGCCGTTTCCAGAGCCGTTTGGTATCTTCATGTTCATTACGTTCTGTAATCAGCCATATAAACAAAATGTATGAAGTAATGATGAGTTAATAGGCCAGCTGCAAGGTTATGCAGTGTCAAGATGATACAGTGATTATGTAAAGTTAGTAAAGAAAATGGTTTGGGAAGGAAACAGTCATGGTCTAAAAGGCGTTTTTGCAGCATTCACCAGGAATAAGCACGGAAAACTATAAATAACTTATGACAGGACAGCTGTTGCTCCATTTGAAATTCCCATTGTGAACCTCCAAAATACAAGTTGAATTCATTACTGTTAGTTCAAGCAATAAAACAAATTTTTGGAAGAACTTACATCACCACTTTTTTTTTTTCAAATGTTTAAATATATTTAAAATTTAAAATAGGGCATAAAATACTTTTGAGACACGCTACAAACACCGGTAGAGTGGTAATATGCCTACATAAATTTCCTGTATTTCCACATCAGTGCTGGGCTACTTGGAATTAAGCTGTCACCCATGTCATTCCCAATTTATTAGCCGTATTCCTAATAAAGTAATTTCCTATATATTTATAATATGTATAAACTGCACCTATTGGAAACAGACATAAGAAATAAAGCAACCCAGAAAGAACTAAGGGGGAAAAGGCAAAAATGGAAAGGAAGCTGAAAATATACTGTACTGCTCTGTAAATGTAATGTACCTATGTAACATGAACTTCAGGAATGTTATTTGTGTCATAAATACCAAGGGTATGTACTGTACAAAAATTTTTACCTAGAAATAAGTACATATGTTAAACAGAAACACTCTGAAGCAGAGAACCATTCAGGTCCCTTAGGATTTGTTGTAAACATATGTGAGAAGTTACTGCATTCCAAGTAATGTTATTTCCAGTATAAAATACTGGAATGTGAAAGGCACCAAAAAAACCTGGGTTCTTATTACAAATATTATGTATTTGGACATTATTGATTGTGCTGTATTTATCTAAAAACACCATTGTTTATTTTTCAAAACAACGTTTTTGAGACTGCATTCTGTCTCTGTCTTCTGGTAAAACCTACTCAGTTGGGCACAATCAATAGAGCTAGTTCGTATCTCTGGAAAATAAAATTTGAAAAATAAACAGCAGTGTTGTCAGATAGACTGGATGATGGATAATGTCCAAAAACATATTTGTACCAATGTACCTTCGTCACAAACTTTGAGATCTTATTTACTGGGTTCTTATACTGTTAATAACCTAGTACACAACATTACTTCTGGACTTTTCAAGTTCACATTTATTACACATGCATGAAGTGTTATAAGCTTAAATATAACAACTATTCGAACTGCTAAAAGGAAATATAAGAAAAAATACGTACAGGACTGTAATTATGCCATGAATTAAAATTATCATATAGTAAATGGATTTATATTATGACTTCACTAGCATTCTGCCCATATACACTGGACTTTTCAAAATGATTTGATGATAATGGGAACATTTGCTTTGTTTACATTTTTACTGACAATTGTTAAAAATAAATACACGTGATGTATGAATGACATGTTGCACTAAATGAGATCAGATCACAATGACAAGAAAATTTTACTTATACCAATGCTATTGCTTAGCCAACAAAGAAGTCTACATTAATATAGACACAATATAAAACACACAAACACCAACTTAAATTGTTACACTATTCAATTTTGCACCGAAGCTGGGCTCTCATTTTAAGAAAATTGCCCTAAGTAGGTTACCTCGGCTCCTTCGTGTAAACCGAAATTTCACATATGGATAACAAACAGATGAATTAGAACCTTACCTATTTATAAAGTGTATTTATATATGCTTTTCGATCGTTGGCACTATTCGTTATTCTGAAAGTACTCCAAAGTTAAACGGCGCTTTTGTAAATTAATATTTCCTCTGTAGGTCATGCTGACAGCTTTGAGCGACCATTTTCGAAGAACAAATTTAGGCCTTTACACAAACTTGGTAACAAATGACAATACTTTATTTACTTTAATATTAAACCCTCTTATTACAAAGCAAGAGATTATTCAGTAGAATACAAAGCTGTGGAATTCCGCCTACCGTTTAAATTCTTCCGTGTCGGTTTTCGTTAAATGAAATCAAATTGTACTCGAATAAACTCCACAATACGTCTTAGAAAATACAATCAGCTGTTTAACGCCAAACTGTTACTGCCATCTATACGGTGATAATCTTGTGGGTTCAGTACAGTAACTCAAATCGGCAATTTAAGCATTGAATTACCTTAAAGTCAGCAAATAATGTATTCGAAAAATTATTATGAACTAAATTTATTTAATATTATATGACTGTTTACTTAATAGTAACCTTTATTTCGTATACATGTATATTTGTGTTTCTTTAATATGTCAGTTCACTAACCAGTCCCACTTGTGACGTATGTTGTTGACGTTTTATCATAACAAAGCGTTGGTCGGTTACGCATAGTTGGCATACGGCTGTCAGTTCGTTTTCTACTGCTGTGGTGGGCTGTTGATGTGTGTGTTACAATGACATCCACTCCAAAGTCAACCAGTGAGGACGTGCTAGGAGGTAAGGCTGGCCAGCTGGTTGTTACTGTAGAAGTAAATGATTAGTTGCTGTTTCGAAGGTGGTGTCAGTTGTCACTGACTTCGACCAAAACCAGTTAATACTTCCACGTATGAGACACGTATGATGACACTGATTGCACTGAATATTACAGTTGAAAATACGAGCATTAAATAAAGAATTCTAATGTCCCGCTGTAGTGCCCATCATAAATGTTGACTTTCGGTCAATAAATTATCGAGTGTATCATCTTACGCGTTACAGTGAACATAAGATTATCGTTGAAACTATTGATTATTGCAGTATCGTTACGTACTGTGTGACACGGATTTGACGTTATTTACCAGCTTGAATGTTGTGACTGTTGATTCGTTACGTCTTGAAACTGTGGTGTTTGTATCGAAATGTCCATTAACCAAGTGACGCAGATTTTTGTAGCATTTAGCCCACTGGTCAGAATTGTTAGAAGTGGGTCGCTTGATGAAATTTGCTAACGTGCGAAGACCCTAGTCAGCGAAGTCCACTGTTTTGTTGTATCCCGAACACCCACCAGATTAAACCCTTACATAAATGTAAACATTTGGCTAGCGAAATACAACAAGCATTTCGAAGACAATAACTTTGGAATGCGATGTAATATTAAGGACATTCTTATATATAAATATGTATTCACTTTGATGTGCAGTCGATTGCTCTTCATTGTTTTGTTCATTTGGTAGTGTGGATCAGTTAATTCAAGGACGCCTGAAGTTGTGACGTAGGAGTCATTCTTGACTTTTTTATCGCTAATTTTGCGGGTGCAAGTGAGAGTCAATGGTGCACAGCTACACCAGAACTACCCGAATCCTGTAGTAGGCAACACTGGATTGCTGGGGAGGACGCATTCTCTGGCGCCTCTGCTGCATCTCCGACTGATAGAAACTTGACGAAGGATGTGATGTGCTGCCAAGTTAGGGCTATCGCATACCTCTGGGGGCGGTCAGATGAGAATGGAGCAACGGTGGAATGATAGATAGCAGAGGAAAAACGGAGGAACTCGGAGAAAAAATACTTGCACCAGTGCCACTTCTTCTATCACCGATCTCGCTTGAATTCGTCCGATGCTTCGCGAGAGGTCAAAGAGGTCAGAGCAGCCCAACCGTATGAGCTGTGGCACGGCTGCTCCGCCTGATACGCTTTTAAATTCTCCGGTACGTAGTAATTTTTTTTATTGCTAGTGGGGTGGGACTAAGTCCCTTGTACTGCGGCCACTTCTGGCCTATTGTACCAGCCCCAGATGATTGTGGAGCAATTGGTGGAATGAAGATTGGCAGGGGAAACCAAAGTACTGGGAGAAAACCTGCCCCAGCGCCACTTTGTCCACCACAAATCCCACTTGACCATACCCGGGATCGAACCCGGGCCAGCGACTAACCGCTTGAGCTATGGCGCGGCCCTACGCAGTAGTTAAGGGTGGGACGGGAAACTTGCCAAGCCACCATAAATTTTAGAACATAATTTTCCGTGTGGTATAAACAATACAGAATTTAACTTTTTGTATGCCACAGAATGATCTGGCGTAGGGTAGTGTGCAAGCTTGTTGTGTGCCGCCAATTACAATAATGTAATTATACCTTTATTAATCTGATTAAGCTGTGGAAGTATAAAAGTATGCAGGCCCTAAATGAAGTATTTTATTATGTCATTCGGCTTCTGTTAAAAATCAGTATGGTGAATGTTCAGTGAGATAACGAGTTGTTTTCAAGCGTGCACATAGTTCAACGGAGGGCAATAGGCTTGTGTCTATGGTTTCTCCCCCCAAAATAGTTTTCAGTGTTTTCAGCTGAAAGCGCTCGGTCATTTGCTTTGTTATGTTGAGTGTCCAAAGAACTGCTACTGTGACACCAGGTATATGTATTAAAGCAAGAATGACTGACTTCTTCACAATGGGCATGATTGCAGTTGGTGGTGTTTTACGGACGCTATACCTAGTTCGTGTGACAGACACGTGCACGGGCGCCGTCAGATTTTTTTTTTCAAAGGAGGGCCAGATGTCTCACTACAAACTTACTTTTAAGCCGCTTAAAAGTATTTTTGCTGATCACCCTGGTAAAATATTCAGTATGTGCCAAGGAATTTGTTTACATTTCTAATATTAATGTTAGGTACATTTTTTTTTTCCGATGTTCATCACCCCCAAAAGAAACATGCTAGGCCGATTCCTGGTTTGCATCCCCTTGCCAGCGCCCGTGGACACATGTAAACAAAATAAACTCCGTGGCCTGCAGTCCGCAAGCGAACTATACCGACATAGCGACCGCCGCTTGTCGGCGAAGTTAGTGCTGTAAAGTGACAATATGGTTAACAATTTTTCTTCCGCATAAGTGGTATCCATAACAGGTAACTTTTACGTGGCAATATACGCAAGTTGTGTGTCTGCAGTATTCCAGTAGTGTGCAGGCGTGCCCATAAAGTTAGAAGTTGTTGGTTATTTTCAAACGGCGGAGATCTTACTTCTTCATGTTTCTATATAAAATATTTGGCAACGATGGGACAGTGTAGGCATCAGTAGAAGTTACATTTATTTGTAATTCTTTAAGTTGCAGTAAGGTTTCTAAAGGGAGAAGCCTGAAAATTTGCTTACAAATTTATATTTAAACCGCTTAAGACTGTATTTACTAACTAAAGAAACTTTATTATTGTTAGTATTGGGTATACATGTACATGAATATTTTTCCAACTTTGTTTTTTTAATATACGAAGGTGGGGGTCAGATATATAATTTACCCATAGTGGCGGCATATACTCCATAGTCCCGGTTTTACTCCCAATCGGAGTATTGATGATTGCCCTCCTTTTTGTGTTATTTACATGAAAGAGCACAAAATAAACACATAATTACGAGCAAGTTGAATAAGTTGGCATGTTTCATCTCTGAAAGCACTCTTCGATTACATTTCGTGTTTTAGGCCTTGCGTCCGACTGTGTTCCCTCATTGTTCCACTGTGTGTATAGAAAATACACCCATAATTGTTCTCACGGCTCTGACGATGAGGAACTCTGTCTTTTGGAATGTGATGCCGTGTAGTCCGGTAGAAGTTTACAGACGTTTAAGAGGGACGTATTACCCGTATCTTCGGGGTCGAAGCGTAAGCCAGGTCTACGTTTTGCTGGTTGCTAGCTTGGCTTACTCTTCGATCCTGAAGATGGAGGTAGTGCGTTCCTCCGAAATGTCGATGGACTTCTGCCGAACTACACAGTGCCCCATTTCAGGAGATAGTAATCTTCACCAGGGTATTTTATGAGGTGGAACAAGCCAGAATGTAATGGAATGGATCATTGTGTTTGTTTTATACCCATGGGGGGTATGCAAGAAATGGAGTGTTAATAAGTGTGAATACTATTAAATTTATTGGAAAGTAAAACAATGATCATATTGAAGAAAGCAGTCTTCTGGGATTTGGCACCGTGTATATGTGGTGTTAACCGACGTTTCGGAGGAACGTATCGCCTCCATCTTCAGGGTAGAAGAAAAAATATATAAGAAATCTGCAAGCGGAGAGACCGTGAGAACCGATTTTACCGGTTCCTCCGAAACGTCGGTTAACACCACATATACACGGTGCCAAATCCCAGAAGACTGCTTTCTTCATAGTCACCGCCGTGAAAGCCTCAAATCTTACAATGATCATATTAATATATTACTATTCTTTTTAAGTATTCGTTAATTGTGATAAACGAGAATTAATATTAATAAACGTTTATTTGTCGCACAGTCACCTAGTTACGAACGAAGAACAATAACGAGAGACAAGGTAGCTAGGAGCTTTAATTAGTGGGCGTAAACAATTGCGCTGCCGATGACGGTGGCCGCACGGTCGAAAGCATGAACTGTCTTCACTCGCTCGAACGCTGGGATCGTGGGTTCCAGTCCCACTCAAGGCATGGATGTCTGTGCAGTTATTTTGTTTGTATTGTCCTGTGTGTAGGTAGCGGTCTTGCGACGGGCTGATCACTCGTCGAAAGAGTCCTACCGTCTGTGTAAAAAAAAAAAGCGAAACTGAAGACGAGGCCAGGGTCCAACGGAGGGCTGTATAGCCAGTGATGACTGAAAAAATAAAATAAATGAATGAATGAATGAACAATTATGCTATACTGTAAAGGTCTGTCTCGGTTTGTGTAGCGACGGGCTACTGGCTGGACGGCTCGGTTTCGATTCCCGTCAATGCAAGCCTTTTCTCTTCTCCACAGAGTTAAGAGCGGCCCTGGGGCCCACTCAGTCTCGTATCCAATGGGTGGTGGGGATCACTCATCAGTCTCTATTGGCAAGGTCAAAACTGATGGAAATATACTTTCACTCCCGCATATAGCCTTCATGACATAGTGCTTAACTAATTAAGCGCAGGAACAACTTTTTCTTTATTGTGCAGGTCTAAACACATTTTCTGATGCACCGTTAAACAATAAAGTTTTCTCGATTTCGGAACGCTGCGACCTTGAGCGTCTTGGCACAGTGACTGCACAATTTATTTCAAGCGGGAAACACGTGTCTCCCTCTTTCTAAGTTCCGTTGCTCTGCCGATCATTTGCAGTTCATTCTATTAAGTTTTCACTGAAGCTGAGACTGGAATATATCGGGGTGTTTAGATTTCGAAGCCCGAATGCCGAAACCCTGATGATGTAATGCACGTTCCCTTCATACACGGAAACCTTTCTGAATGCTTGATGTCGGCTCCGTTATATCAGTGGTATGCACCAGATGTCTCTTAGAAATGTTTGCCCTTTAACCTGTTTGTCTCTGTAACAAGATCGGTGAAAGTAACCTCGCCTGCAGTCCCTCTACAGCTGAAACCTGCGTGACTTCACAGCCGAAAAAATTGTACATTGTCGTGGAAATGCACTACCGAACACAAGGAGGTTTATTGTACAGTTGGCGCAGAAACTTCCTCTTTTTGAAGGCGAATAAAAGAAACATTATTGCTGATAGACAAAATTTATGTTTAGCTAATGAAAGAACATACTTTAAAGTTTTAAATCATGTAGTTTCAAACAAAATATCTTTAAGGTGGTGGCCACCCTTCTCTATGCACTGATGCAACCGTTTTCTGAAGTTCCCCTCTGCACGTTCCAACATGTGCACCGGAATTTGGGCTACTTCCTGCCGAATAACATTCTTCAGCTGAAGCAGGTTTGTGGGGCGATGTTTAAAAACCTCTGTCTTGATGTATCCCCATAAAAGAGAAATCACAGGGCGTTAGATGAGGTGAGTGCGCTGCCCACGGAATGTCACCTCGAAGCGAGATGAGCCGTCCGGGGAACTTTGCCCTCAAAACTGTCATCGAAGCTCGGGGTGTGTGGGCCGTGGCACCATCCTGTTGAAACCAGAAATTTCCTAGATGCATTTCTTCAAGAGCTGGTTCGAACAAGTTTTTAATCATGTCCACATACCGGTGTGAATTGACAGTAACTGCATGATTGTCTTCTTCAAAAAAATAAGGGCCAATAACTCCAACTCTCGACAACGCACACCATACTGTCACCTTATCACTGTGAAGTGGCCTCTCATGGAGCTGTCAGCAAGCATATTCTGCCTGTTTACGTATCCGGATAGGTGAAAATGTGCCTCATCACTAAAGAAAACAAGTGCGTCAGGGGGTAAAGTTTCCAATAACGTTTCGCACGCCATTATTCGGTTCTGGAAATCACGTGGTGACAATTCTTGCACAACAGCCATCTTATAGGGATGGAACTGAAGATGTTCGTGAAGAATTTGGCGCATTGAACGATTGGATACGTCTAGGGCGACTGCATGTTTGCGAGCGGAGCGTCTTGGAGATCTCAAAATCGACTGTCGAATTGCCTCCACATTTTCTGGCGTCGTAACGGTCCGCTGTCGTCCTAATGATTTTTTCACCACACTCCCGGTTGTCCTAAAGTTCTCTACCCACAGAACAATTGATTTCCGGTCGGGAACCGGACCTCTGGGCTTAATTCCGAAGTGAGTACAGAACGCACGCTGCACCGACACGTAGGAATGGTTGTTCGAAAAATAGGCTTCGACAGCAAACGCACGCTACTCACTCGTCCACCTCATGTTTCCCACTGAGGGGTATAAGACAGAAACTTCCGCGACTGCTGCGTTCGCCGAGCCTATCCCCACTTTTCTGCGACCTCCCCTCCCTTCACAATGCGTCCTCACAAAAAGGAAGTTTCTGCGCCCCATCCTCTATAAAGCTTTTACGTGAAAGCGGTTAAGCTAATTAATAAAATCAATACAAAGTCCGTCAAGTGTAACAATGTTTTTTTAGGTCACTTCTTTCTCACTCTTGCCTTACATGTTTCGGTTTTAGTAAAACCATCTTCAGAGGCACATGGTACTAACAAGAAAACACTGGCGTTGTTTAACTGTACACAGTATATATGCTATGTGGGCACTGCACAAATATCGATGTGTAAAAGCACAACACTAGCTTGGAGTACTGAATGCACGTACAGAATGCACGTTCAACCTTCGCATTCAATCCGAAGTTGCCCTCGCGTTAAAACATCACTATTAAAATATTTAAAAAATATTTAAAAGTTTAAGACTTTTGAAGTAAAATATAAAAATGTTAGGCTGCTTCTTAATTTATCCCGATGTTGGGAGATGTCTTGAGGTTGTATTGGCTGCAAAGACATTGTATTACATTAGGTTTTATATATTTATATATATTGAATTTATTTTGTTTAGTGTTGTATTTGATCCTTGCTTACCTTGTAGTTGGATTGTTCCTGTGCGTTGTGTGTTGTGTACTGCGGTGAGAGTTCTACGCCAGTGTTATTTAAATTTATGTAATTAATTTTGGCCAGTAACTGGAAAATCACCCTGTCAGCTGGTGGCATGTTCTGGAAGTGCGTGGCACATTTTAACACTTTTGTTAAAAGAGCATAAACGTGTACTGTAGGGATATTCACATGAAGCCCTCTGTATTAAGTGAAAGTTTTTGATGAAATGTGGAAACCTGATTTAGAAAATTTGATGTCCAGCAGTATAAAGAAAGCAGTCTTCTGGGATTTGGCACCGTGTATATGTGGTATTAACCGACGTTTCTGAGGAACGTATCGCCTCCATCTTCAGGATAGAAGGAAAAATATAAGAAATCCGCAGGCGAAGAGACCGTGAGAACCGGTAAAAGCAGACTGCGGATTTCTTATATTTTTCTTTCTACCCTGAAGATGGAGGCGATACGTTCCTCCGTGACGTCCACACAAGGTCTACACGGCGCCACATCTCAGAAGACGGCAGTCTTAATGNAGCAGGATAGTTTCTTGTTATACAAGATGTGTGTTAAACCAGTGGTAAATGTGGCAATGATATCGTGGGTATGCGGGAGGTGCTACCATTGAGTTCAGTATCTTCTAGATAGAGGCCTAAAGACTAAAATTAAGAAAACTGTTGTTCGTTACTAGGGGTGAAAGTTTTGTCTCTAACCCACGCGATGAACATAAATTGAGGTTGCTTCAGATCAGGATGCTTAGGATAATTTTAGGACAAAGCAGAATAAGTAACGGCAGAATTCTGAAACTTTTGTTAACGTGAGAGCTTCGTAATTATAATACTTGTAGAGCGAGCTTAATTTTGATTCGTGTTGGTCTGATGTTGGATAGCTCATTCGGTATAGCGACTAGGCTACGTACGGCCTTGTCAGCCCAGGAATTGGAGTTAGCTTCCCGACAGTGGAAAACGGATTTTCTTTTCTCCACAGCTTCCAGACCTGCTCTTGGGTCCACCAGCTTCCTGTCCGCTGAGTACGGGGGAATCTTTCCCCGGTCGTAAAGCGGCGTCAGCATGAAGCTGACCCCCCAATGACGAGATTAAAAATGAGTGGAGTTGCGTCTTTGTGGCATGGTTGTTAATTAATTTCGCACAGAAACAATTTCATCTTTTATTTTTATTGTTCTGATATATCCCCTACTTGATATGAAGCACACATCTAACGTACTGCTGTTCTGCAAAACGGGCCGCGGCATAGAACATTTATGCATTGAGTACGGTACATTTCTAACTAAGATACGTAGTTGTTATCTGATATATTTTTCGATATGATGAATCTTTTTTTTTAATTCGCTTAATTAGGGGGTGGAGTCCAACTGGGTCCACTCGGCACGGCGGCCACTGATTGGCCAATTGTAGCCAGCCCCGGGTGATTATGATGATGAAGAATTTGGTGGAATGAAGATTGGCAGGGGAAACCGAAGTATTCGGGGGAAAACCCGCCCCAGCACCACTTTGTCTACCACAAATCCCACTTGACCAGACCCGGGATCGAACCCGGGCCGCCGCGGTGGGAAGCCAGCGACTAACCGCTTGAGGTATGGCGCGGCCATATGATGAATCTTTAATGAAATAAGGCCTATAAGGAAAAACAATTGTTTCTGGAGTGCTCCATCGGTATTATGAGTTAAGCAAAAAGAGAAGATGCTGTTGAATGTACTCCATTTGAATTCACCGTCCATCCTCGTCTTGTATAAATTTGAGTCTTCCTTTGCACTCTCGTCGAGTGTTCCATTTTAATGCATTTTTTCACTTTTGCCTTGTATGCCGTTTGAATGCAACTTTCCATTCTTCTCTTGTATAGATACGCCTTTCCGCTGTAGCACTGTGTGGAGACATTGGTGACCCGAAAAATTGTATCGCCATGTTATTCAATTAGTCCAGCTAGGTAACCTCATTTTATTAGATCAGACGCGTAGTTAATGCAGTGACGAACGACCGGCGGTCCTAAGTAGTTCTTACACGAAATTTGAATTTAAACTGAATCAGAGACCATCTGGAAAAATTTCCGCCTTTCTGCAAGATTCCGAATGACCACATTATTCTGTGCCTCACGAATGTTTCCAGTCTGTCTGCTAAATTAACGCACGCTTACTTTACCGCCGAACATACAAGTATACTCATGGGTCCTATATCCAGTACATACAATTGGTTCTGTTTTACGAAGAAGATGAAATTCATATTAAATAGCTTATATAGCTTTTCTGTTCTACATGGAGTTGTGATATACACAATTTAAAAGTGTGATAATGCTTGATGTGAATGCAGGAAATGTTTCCTCTCACTGCCCGCCGGGTATTGAACCTTGAATGGGAGACACACATATGTATCCAGACTCTAAGTTCTGGCAATAACAGCCGATGCATCATTATGGGGTGCAGTTCTTCAATATAACCCTTTCATACAAGAATATTACTTGTGTTTTATGTCTTTCACACACACAAGTACCCTCAAGACACAAATGCTGTTCTATTTCTGAAAGGAAAAGTTGACAAAGAACAAGTTGAAGAAGAATGCTGTCTTCCGGGATATAACGCCTTGTAGAAAATCATGAATTAGGTACAATTTTTTTTGTACATAAAACAGTCGTATCAGCAATTATGAGGATCGAGTTCGTGATAGGATATCATATATAATACTAAAAGGTCGCTGGTGTGATATCATTGTTATGAATGTTCACGTCCCAACAAAAGATAAAATTGGTGACATAAAGGATAGGTTCTATGAAGAACTAGAACATGTATTTGATAAATTCCTGAAGTACCCTATGAAAATTTTGTTAGAAGATTTCAATGCCAAAGTAGGGAGAGAAGATATTTTCAAACCAACGATTGGGAATGAGAGTTTGCATGAAATTAGTAATGATAATGGAGTTAGAGTAATAAACCTTGCCACATCAAAAAATCTTACTGTCAAAAGTACAATGTTTCTGCATCATAACATGCATAAATTTACTTGGACATCTCCTGATGGGAAGATACACAATCAAATAGACCATATTTTGATAGATAGGAGAAGGCGCTGAAGTATACTTGATGTCCAGTCATTCAGGGCAGCAGATTGTGATACTGACCACTACCTGGTGGTGCCAAAGGTTAGGAAGAGACTGGCAGTGAGCAAACAAACAACACGCAGAGTTCACATGGAGAGGTTCAATCTCAAGAAATTAAATGAGGTAGAGGGTAAAGAGCAGTATTGTGTTGAAATCTCAAATAGGTTTGCAGCTTTGGAAAACTTGGACACTGAGGTGGATGTTAATAAAGCTTGGGAAACTATTGGAGAGAATATAAAAATGTCTGCCAAAGAGAGTCTAGGTTATTATGAACCGAAGAAGCATAAGCCATGGTTCGATGAAGGATGCTCAAAATTATTAGATCAAAGAAAGCAGGCCAAATTGCAATGGTTACAGGATCCAAGCGAGTTAAATGGGGATAATCTGAACAATATAAGACGTGAAACCAGCAGGCATTTCAGGAATAAAAAGAGGGAATATCTGAAAGACAAAATTGATGAGCTTGCAATGAACAGTAAGAACAAGAACATTAGAGACCTGTATAGAGGAATAAATGACTTTAAGAGGGGTTACCAGGCTAGAAGTAAATTAGTGAAGGATGAGAATGGTGATCTGCTTGCAGATTCCCACAACATTTTGAATAGGTGGAGGAACTACTTCTCTCAGTTATTGAATGTACATAGGGTCAGTGCTGTTAGGCAGACAGAAATCCATACAGCTGAGCCGTTAATACCTGATCCCAGCCCTTTTGAGGTTGAAAGTGCAATTGCAAAATTGAAACGGTATAAATCGCCAGGTAGTGATCAAATTCCGGCAGAACTTATTCAAGCAGTAGGCGAAATATTACATTCGAAGATCCATAAGCTAATTATTTCTAATTGGCATAAGGAAAAATTGCCTGATCAGTGGAAGGAGTCTATTATTGTACCAGTTTACAAGAATGGTGATAAAACTGACTGTAGTAATTATCGAGGGATATCACTGCTATCAACTTCATACAAAATTTTATCAAATATTCTTCTCTCAAGGTTAAGTCCATATATAGATGAAATTATTGGGGAGCATCAGTGTGGGTTTCGACGTTACAGATCAACTACAGATCAGATCTTTTGCATTCGTTAGATATTTGAGAAAAAATTGGAGTACAATGAGACAGTACATCAGCTATTCATAGACTTCAAGAAAGCCTATGATTCAGTTAGAAGGGAAGTATTGTAAAATATTATAATAGAGTTTGTAATACCCATGAAACTAGTTAGGTTGATTAAAATGTGTTTAACCGAAACGTATAGGAAAGTCCGTGTAGGTAAACATTTTCCTGATAAATTTCCTATCCAGAATGGTTTAAAACAAGGAGATGCTTTATCGCCATCCTTTTCAACTTTGCTTTAGAATATGCCATTAGGAAAGTCCAGGGAAACCAGATGAGACTGAAATTAAACGGGACACATCAGCTGTTGGCCTATGCCGATGATGTGAATCTACTGGGTGATAATGTAGATACCATAAAGAAAAACACGCAAACTTTAATTGACGCAAGTAAAGAGGTTGGTCTAGGAGTAAACACTGAGAAAACTAACTATATGTTGCTGTCTCGTTACCAAAATGCAGGGCAAAATCATGATATAAAGATGGGAAACATATTTTGAAAATGTGGCACAGTTCAGATATTTGGGAACAACGATAACAGATCGAAACCTGATTCCGGAGGAAATTAAGAGGAGATTGAACTCGGGTAATGCTTGCTACCATTCAGTGCGGAACCTTTTGTCTTCTCGTCTCCTGTCCAAAAACATAAAATTAGAATACACAAAGTATAATTTTGCCTGTGGTTCTGTATGGGTGTGAAACTTGGTCTCTGACATTAAGGGAGGAACATAGACTGAGGGTGTTTGAGAACAGGGTGTTGAGAAGAATATTTGGACCAAAGAGAGATGAAGTGACAGGAGGTTGGAGAAAACTGCATAATGAGGAGCTTCATAACTTGTACTCTTCTCCAAGTATAATTAGAATGATCAAGTCAAGGATGATGAGGTGGGCAGGTCATGTAGCACGAATTGGGGAATGCTTATAGGATATTGGTGGGAAAGCCAGAAGGAAAGAGACCACTGGGAAGACCAGGTGGACAATATTAAAATGGATCTTTGAGATATAGGATGGTATGGTATGGCTTCGATTGATCTGGCTCAGGATAGGGGCCAGTGGAGGGCTCTTGTGAACACGGTGATGAACCTTCGGGTTCCATAAAATGCTGGGAAGTT